ATCTTACAGAGAGGGCAAATTCATTCTTATGAGGACGTGATGATCTTAATTCATCAAAGTACTACACAACAAATATCACACGCTTCGGGACTGACTTGATAGACGTGAAACTCTGGCCCTTTTAAGGCTATGAAAAAGACATTTTGTTAGACATTTGCTCACCGACTATTGCTCCGACTAGGTGGTGCGGGAATCGTATCTTCCAACAGGCGTCGTAGAAGGCCATAAATACGCATAGGACACCTGAAAGAGGGAATAATCGAAAAAGAAGCAGATTAATGCCGAAAACAGTCAAAAGTCTGAAAAGCCATGCGTTGTGTTAGGAAAGACTGAATCCTCACACCTTACCGACAACGAGTATCTTAGAAAAAAAATACAAATCGTAGTGTATCCGGTAACATAGGAAAAATATTGAGACAACATTTATTTCTGCTGCAAATAACCAACGGATAGTAGCTGACCCACCGTAAAAGAGTACTTATGGAAATGCTGAAACACATTCTTCCTTAGAAAGGACAACGTGGATTATCATGCAACATAAACCCAACATATATCAATCACGCTAGGAATAGGACTCTTGCCGGGAAAATTACTGCAGGAGTAAAATCTACTTTTAAACGAACTGCTTCCGTCTCAAATATGTTTTATAGAACATCTTGCACAAAAAGGTTACAACTGACACCCACCTAGTACCCAGTTACGAAGTTTTTGAAATAAATATAGCCATTGAAAATCGTAGCTGTCTGTTTATAAATGGGAAATTTTCGAGATTTATATTATGCCCTCTAGATAGCATAGGCAACTGTGTAAATTTCATTTTACAGAAACAACACAGCCTGGAGTTTGGAAACCTAGGTATATGCGCAGTTTCGAGTCGGATCCAAATTTATTTTTGGATTAAAAAACACTATTTGTATGCTAAAAGCATCCCACTGAAAAGTACCAAACTGGAAGAAGACAGAGGTTTCTGCCAAGATAATTTCAATGCATGATTTCCATCAAACCAAACTTCTGTTCACAAGGAAATAAAAAGGAAAGACAAAAACCCCCCGGGAATGTGCCATTTTGGACATAGTGCGAACGGCCGGAAAGAAGCTGGTTCAAAAGCTCTGGAGTATCATGCAGCATGTAATCTCTTCTATATTTAGAACTTTCGGTCAGCATTTGTTCCACCATAGAAGGACAACCGGTAGAAGTTTAATTTAGGTTCCAGTACAGCACGCGAAAGCCCCATCCTTCTTTAATCCGGGCCAGGTGGTAAATAAGGGTTAAATGAGTGGGGCATATCAGGGGAACTGAACTAAAATATAAGTAAGTTAAATAAACCAAATGAAGGTAAACTAAATCCTTAAAGGTTTCAACTCCAAAATCAACCGCATATGGTGTATAAATCGAAAACTAAACTCAAATATATAACTAAAACCTAACAGACATAGGTTAACTAAAACAAACGAAACTGAAAAGAAATCTAAAACAAAACTTAAAAAACTTAATAATGAAATAAAAACTAAACTAAAAGTAAACAGAAAAGCATGATTAACTATAAACTTTAAATAATACATGGGGCGTTTTTCTGTTTCCAAATAGTAGATCATTCAAACAATTCTGGAACCTAAATTAAACTTCCCCCGGACGACAGCCAAAATGTCCGCAGGGGAAGTCTTCCTGAAACTAATTTCTCTCATCCTGCCGCTGAGCGCCGCACCAAGCAATAGCTGACCATTAGGGATCATGCTTAACTTCTAGACGACGTAGAATACTAGAAATAAATTGAATGTCGGCAGGGTGTTGAATGCAAGGTGTTTTAAAAAACAAGAGCAGGATTGCAGGAGGGGTATGCGAGTGTCAAGCATAACTGACCGGGTAGAATGGAATCACCAAAGCCCAGGAGCATAAAGTCTTCACCGCGAGAGCAGAAATTTGCCAGGCTGGGAAAGAGACTACCCGTGGAGATCTTGAAGAGCAGGGGCATTCTTTCACCGGACGTGCCGGCAGACCCCGTAGCCACCGCCTCCATGACACTTGGCACAGATCGTGGGACTCGGGAGAGAACCTCATGTGCGTTGGATGACAGTAGGTTATTCGAATACGTGGCGGTAGAGGCCTTGGGGGTTAGAATAAGATGGTTTTATTAATTACAGGATATTGTATACCTGATGAAATTTGAGGGACAAAATTTGAGTGGAAGTTGGGAGTTGTTTATTTTATTCATCAAGTTGACTTGACGCGTAAAATGCTATTTACTAGAAAAGGCTTCACTGGGGGCCAAATCCAACGTTTGTTGATATCCAAGAAAGTTCCTAGCCTATTAAACGCTACGGACCAAAAATTCTTGTTTGTGCGTGTTTTCTATAAAAGAACATTAATAAAGAACAGAAACTTTAATTATATCTGTTCGCCGAACAGATAATTTTGCTTTGCCTTCATGAAATTGAAGTAAGTGTACGTATGAGATAACGCACTATTGTCGGCAATAGAAGAGCCAAATCAGTTTACAAGATTTCGTCTTGCAAATCTGTTAAGTTTTGTGCCATAAACATAGGGAATAAACTTATGAGACCACAAGTTGTTCTACTAAGCCTTAATAAGAACCCCTAATTAACCATCATATGAGGTGTCGCGAAATGTCATAAGTTTCCTCTGCAATGTCGTAAACGAACCCCGTCTAAAAATTCTCAATATAAAGAAGGGAAGCAATGAATATAAAAAACTCAAAACGGAATAGACAGAAGATAATCAGTTATGGTATAATCAAAGCGGGTATCATGTCACTCCCGTGCGATTTTGCAATCGTAGAACGGGACCCGGAAGTAACAAAACATACTAAAAAACTGTTCCGGTATACACACAAAAGTGAGTTCTTTCATTTTCAGCAGAATATTTATCGCTTATTCTCGGGGAAGTCAAAAAACTGGTCAACATTTCCCATTTTAGTCTCCACTTTATCTTCAAAAAGATAAAGTACACAGATATTCGGCGCCGAAGTGTCAAATTAAAGCGCTTTTTCAAGAGGTAACTTGCTTTAGAAAGTTTTTTTTAAATCAACCTTAGGCTGCATAAAAAGGAATGTTTAAAAACTTATTATTGGGGTAAACTCTTTTAGGAAATATCTTATTTTCAAGCTTTTGGTAAACAAGTGGGACAGTATCGGTACATAAGGGACAAGCGAATATAAACACTGAATTTCTTAAACTGTTACGCAGGATTTCAATAAGAATCTGAAGCTCGTAGCATTCGAAGTCTCGAAATAATTGCAAGGGGGTGTGACGAAAGTAAATTTCCCTCAATATACACAAGATGGTATGAATTTGGTTACAAGTGCAACCGTAATCTAACTTTTTAGTAAACAGCCAGCCTTTCCGTCTGTGACCTCCAATCTATTCCTGCCAACACTCCGGGTCTGATTCCTCTAGAAAATTATTTTTCAATTATTAAAATAAATTTTCACAAGGCGAGGAGGAATCTTTCCATGCAAATTTTGCAAAAAATGGTTCTTTTACAGAATAATCACATTCAACAAACAATTATAGATAACTGGTCCATGTCTATGTCTGACAGGTTTAATACTGTTTTAAATGTTAATGGACAATCTAAAAAGTACCAGGGTTTTGCATTTGTACTTAGTCTGTATTAATTTGCCGATCCTTCACGTTCTTCTGCCTTAAACAGATTTATATTTAATATTAGATTACTAATGTTTTTAGTGAAAATTAACAGCTTTTATGTTAGTGAGAAGTAATTTTTCAACCAATCTATGTCTTTTTTGTTACTTATGGCACGTAGATTACTGCAGTAAAACCTGGAAGGGGAGGAGGTGCCGCATGCACTGATTTTGCGCAAAATTAACTTAATTGTCTATACTCCAAATTTCATCAGATTTACGATCCACTCTATGCTAATTATGCCAGCATGGCAGTTCAATGCGTTCAAATGAAGCACTCACCGGAGTGAAGAGAGGAGTGATGAAGACAAAGAAGATGTCGTAGCAGACAAACACCAGGAACGCGATTGATATTGCCTAAAATGCAAAGTGCAAAGATGAAAGGTAAGCATACACCCACATTTGAAGGCCAAATGACTCTCAACCCACTATGAATGCGAAGAGAAAGTGACTTTAAAAAAAATCAGACATAATGAAGCGGCATCGCAAGTATAAAGGAGCATTTAGCGGAGAAAGGACGTTGCAACGGGCCCCACATTAGGAAAAGTGAACGTAGTATAATTGTTGGAATACTGGAGGGCCAGGTGGAAAGCCATATCCCACGACACTGCGTTATGCAACTATCAATCAATCGGCAAGGCGTGCGTTCGGACCTTTAGTTAAGTACCTGTGTTGACAATTTGATAAAACAAAACGCGGTAGATATGCTGGATCAACACAGGACCGGATGAGTGTATGACAGTCGTTATTCCGGTCACGTGCCGATAGCAAATACAGAACAGGGTGGGAACCATAGCAGACACGTCTACAACCGCGTTCCCACCCGCCCTCCCGGCGGCCAAGGTCTGCTACACCCATCTC